CTAACCTAATCTTTTTTTAGAAACACACACATATAAACTATTTCTATACTAAATTCTTAAAAAAAAAAAAACAGGAATTTTAAATCAACAAAGGAGAACCACCAAGCTTCACTCCTTACCCTCTCGCCAACTACACTAAGTAATTACCACAGTCTTGCTGGAATAAACCTCATTTCCTAACTCCTAAAATGACCCATATTCACATTCTTAAATATCTAATAAGTGATGATTAGGTTCTTTTCCTTCACTACAGAGATAGGTAAGCCAACAGGAAAAAAGGATTAATACCAAGATGTACAGACTGGCCCTGCTGCTTACAACCCAGGGAAAGGATGATATTACATTTTTTCCAGGGATTAAAAAAACAGATGCCTAAGGGACATTTATGTAGTTCCAACACACCACGCACAAACACAGCAAGGCACACAACATGTGCACATTTCACTGCAGATGACACTGAATATACAATGGTCAGTGGGTTTCTGCTGATGGAACGTGAGTCGTCCAAAATTACTTGAAACACCAAATTATGCTCAGGACTTGGAGGGGTGGATACCCTATGTTCTATTTAATGTGTATGTTCCATTGCATATATTTTTTGACCAAGTATATCTTTATTTTAATAACAGGCCAAGGCCTAAAAACACTTTACAGAAGGGCTATTTTTCTACCTCAGCAAAACTACAGAGAACATGCCAGATTGTTGGATGACCCCAAAGCCTAAGTTCACTCTATTTAAAAGATCTTAAAACCTTTTTTAAAAAAGTAGAAGAAACAGTCTTTTCTCTTTTGAAGAAAGACTGGGAGTCCTTCCTACAAACATTCCTTGAGAATGGATTTTCTCATGTACCCCATACTGACACTTACAGTTCCTTGTTCCTAAGTAATGTATGCACTGAATGTAAATATCTACACTCATGTATACCCGCACTCCTTTCAGAAGGTAAAATGTCTCTCTGCGACCGCTAACACAATGCCCACACCTGACCTGAACCATATTTCTTTCACTCTGAAAGGAAATGTCCCACACGCAGACGACTAAGCTGCTGCTGTGGACAACACCCAGCTCTCTCCAGGGAGGCCCTGCACAGCGGTCCTGGTTGCACTGCTCGCGGTGGGGCACAGCAGTGTGTGCGGCACAACGCCGTCCCCCTGCAGCAAGACAGTCACATCCTCGGAGGGCTGCCTCCTAGCAAGAACAGCGCTGCTGTGGGTGAACCAGCGAGCACACGGCTTCCATCCACAGTTCTTCAAAGAAGTAAGTTGTTAGTTTTACAACAAAATATTTTTCAAAAGTAAATTTAGAAATGTTATCTCTATAGGATATTCCCAATATTCTCTACAAGTATTTCCTTTAAAATCTAGAACATTTAATGCCCCCAAAATCAAAAAAACTCTGAACAAAAATGAAAAACATAAAAGTGATTTCTGATGTTTAATGCCTCCTACCACCCGGCATACACCAGCGCTGCTCATTCAGTTCCATAAAGCTGTCGGAAAGCTCTTCTTTAAGCCAAGCATTACGAAGGGGAAAGCTTGTGTCAAACTGGATGAAGCACGGTCCTGATTGCTACTAAAACACGACTGGCCGGCACCTTCCGGCAGCCCAGGCAGAAGACAGGCTCTGCCTGCACTAGAAAGCACCAGCACCCCTTGGGCTTCAGGCTGCAGCCGCAAGGGTGAGGCGCTCCACGCTGCCCACGAGGGACTGGGCCAGTGGTGGCAAGAGGGGTCATCTGATTCTTATTTACATCGTCCTTAATAATCTCTGTTTCTAAAAGTTCAAATGTAAGTTCTAAGCAACCATTTCACAAATACAAATGTCCCCACCATTAATCATCCTTTTTTGGAATCCTTATGGAGTGAATTACTAGCTGAGAGGGGACGCCAATTTGAGTAAGTGAATGTGACCCAGCAGGGATATAAAGCTGTCAACACCATGGTGCTCTTGCTTGCTCTAAGCTCTGCAGCCTTCATATGTTTTTTAAAGAGGTATTAGCCTTTTCTTTCCTGAGGACCTTCTATAAAAGCTGACTGTCATAGGCATCTGAGCGCTTGTATTTTACTCCATACATGCTTTAAGACACACTGCTTACATATGAGCAGGAACATCCTAGTATGTGTTGTAAAGACAGAGCTAAATCGATCTGTTTTCTGACAGTCATCTAACACTAATCACATTTTAAACAATGAACCAACTACTAAGTCTCCCATCAAAAGTGGGCTTGGAAATTGGTAAACCAGCCATCACCTCTACTAGTTAAATCCAGACTCTAAAATCATGCCCCTACTTTTATACAAATATGGAGTTTTCATCCAAAATCATAACAAACTTGCTTTCCCTAAAAAAGTAGAACAACAGATTTTACTATGCAGGCCAATGCACTCAAAATCAGTGAACTGTTTCACTGCATATCAGAAGCATAAGCTAAATTAGCATTTTATTGAGTAACCGATTAATTCAATGTTTCCCCTATCCTGGGTCAGAGGGAATGCTTTAAAACAGGGAACATCAAAGATTAACAAATATGTGTTCCCAAATTTTAAGCTCTACTTTTCAAATGCAGTTTATTAAGACCATCTTTCTGACACTGACACACTATGGTATACCTGAAAATGGTAGTAAATGATACAACTGTGCTTTTTGCAGTTATCTATGCTTAATACATTACTTTATAAAGAAAATTTAAACAAAAGGGTGCACACTGGTAGATATATGAACTATTTTACATTTATCTTAGGTTCAGAAACAGTCTTTCACCTAGTACCTCTAACTAGAAATATATTTTAAACATTTTTTTAAAAATTGAGAATGTGCATTTTTTTAAAAGGCCTGGTACTGCTCTAGTCTATGCATGATTAAAAGTTACAAAGAAATGAAATTATTAACATCTTAATGTACATTTGGAAACCATATAAACCTAAACCCACAAAATAATTATTAACATTCAATAAGAAAGCTTTGTACTATCAGAATTTTATATTCTAAATTAACACATTTTGAAATTCTCTAAATCAATCTCTTTTTAAATAACCTGTGCTATATAGTACAAAAGCACTTTTATAGGAAAAAACTTTGAAAATTTACCACATATAAACTATTTTAACCACTGCACTACTAAATACTGCAAGTGTACACTAAGACAAAATAATGTCATCTTTATTTTCAGTTGGGAAAGCATAAAATAAAGACTTTTGATATTACTAAATGAAATTAAACCTCAGAAAAGGTAACTAAGGCAGCTCACTGAAACAAACTTTTGCTTCATGAAGACAAAATCTGTGGTTTGTATCAAATTTAAGTGATCAAATAAGGTTTACAGTTTCAGAAAATTTAAAAGCCACCACTATTTTACACTAACAGTATCCCCCTGGTCAATAAAACAAATCAGTTTCTTTTACAGTTCAATATGATGGGTGGGGGGCAATTATTATTTTAGGGCAGCACAATTTTTATCAGTTACACTCTAAACATTTAGAGACTTCTTCCTGTCCAGTGGATTCTAGGTTTTCAGAAAGAGACTGAAATTTTAAACCCAAGTTTTTTCTTGCACATAAGGCCACTTTCAGAACACATTGCCTCCCAAGGACTTCTGCAAACTCGTCCAGCCAGCATCAGCACCACTACATCACCTTCACCTGACCCCCCAGGCAAGGTCCCACCCAAGCTTCTCCTCTACACTCACATCTGTGATCACAGGGAAAGCCCCAGGTTCTGGCCAGTCTCAGGTTGACACCACACACAGCACACCCCACTTTTGGTCACAGAACTGTCAGGTTTTCTCTTCCTTCATCAAAAGTATATTTTCACATCTCTAAAAGGGAAGATAGATAAGCCACACTCTACAGCCAAACAAGTTTTTAAAACTAATGCTTCCCCAGGGACAGGGTTAATATAAAAAATTGACGCAAACTATCGTCCATGTATACCACAAAGGAACAGAAGTAGCAAAATAAGCAAAAACCAAAAATGTCATTTTATAAAATGTCTGTTTTTAACTCTTTAAAAGAGAGCAGGCATTTTTAAGTATTTACTTCAAGATCTGGTAGCAGACATCTGGTACATGGGCTGACAGCTCATCACTAAGTTCGCCAGGGTTTTATATCATTTTAGCCCAGCCAATGTAAGAATTACATTAAATAAACTATGGGAAACGTTAGGGGAAAAAACTTTAGAATTAAAAATTTGGAAGGAGCAATTTATCTCAAACCGATACACACACACACACACACACACACACACACACCCCACTACATATCATGCGGAAATGTGCATTTTTGTACATAAGACAAGTAAGCAATTGGCATGCAAACCCCAAAATATTTTAATGCTCACATTTCTCTTTTATCTGTATATTACAAGGTTACTTTTCCTTGTCACTTAGTAGTGAAAACAAAAGCAAAAGCCTATCTTTAAATAACACTAAATTCTTGGGAGTGGAGCTAGCAGGTAGCTAATCAGGCTACCTGGCAATATCCTCCGGTTCCCTAATTCGGGACAACTTTACAAAGGCCTGCGTGGAAACTTTGCAGACAACAGGGGCACTGACACTCCCATGGGTTGAGGGATTCATGGACTCCCCTTTGCCCTGCACCACCGAGGACCCGCTCCCAGCTGCCACTCCTTTACCTCCAGCGCTATCCTAACACAAAGTATAGCACCAGCACGCAGTCCTGCACAGGCCTGAATGTACCGATGACTTTACCAAGCCAGCGCACCCCAACCTCATCCCTGCACCCAGCACCGAGGCGAGGCTAAAGTTAAAGCGCTGAAGAGCTCTCGAGGAAAATCTAGAAACAGTTAGCTGGCTGTGACATAAACCTGCCAACACCTCAGCACACAGTGGCAAAGTGCCCAAAAAATGCCACCCTCTGGGTAAACCACTTTCTGGTTCTGACTCGAGATGAAGCCACCCGCGGCGGAGGCGGCCCGGGCGCTGTCACCCGGCCCGCGGCTTCCGCCTGACCCCGACCCGCTCCCGGCCCGCGCGCCCGGTTACCTCCCACGGCCCGGGCCGCCGCGCCGTTAGTGCGCCCGCGCGCGCCCAGGGGGCTGCCGTTCTGCTCCAGCCGCGCCGCCTTCGCCGGGGGCCCCTTGGCGTCCGGGCTGCCGCCTCGCCGCTCGGGGCTGTCCCGCAGGCTCGGGCTGTCGCTGCGCCGTTCCATGCCGCTCGGGCTCGGGGACCAGGCTCCCGCCGGCAGGTCGCAATAAAGCGCGCGGGGACCTAGGGGCGGGGAGGGCGGGGAGAGAGAGGGACAGCCGCTCACACACGTGACAGGCGTTGGGCCGGCGCCGCCCCACGGCCGCGCACCCCCCCCTTGTGTCGCTGGGGTCCCCGGGTCCCCAGCCTGCCGCACGCACCAGGCGGCCGCTGTCAGGCTGGGCGCGGAGCGGGGTCCTCGCGGCTGACGCGGCAGGCCGGACCTGGCCCAAGGCGCCGGCCACGCTGGGGAGGAGATCGCGGTTGCGCGCCACAGTAGCCCTGCCGGGCACGGCAACCACACAGCAGGGAACCAGCCCGACCCCGCATCCACATGCGCCCCGGGACTCGGGCGCCTCTCTACGCCGCCTGGCCACGAGCGCGCGGCCGCGGGGTCCCGGCGCTCCCGCCTGCCTCCGCCACCCCGCGCGTCTCCTCAGCCCGCACGCGGACGCCCCGGATCCCGCGCGGTGCGGCCGGACACAGCTCCACGTCGCCGTGCAAAGTTTCCCGGCCGCCGGCGGCCACGGTTCCGCACAGAGCTGGGCACCCCAGAGGCCCTGGCAGTGGGGACGCGAACGAGGGAACACCTGAGGACGCGGCGCCCGCATCGTCGCCCGGATCCACAGAGACCAGGTGGGGAGGCCGAAGCAGGGGCGCGGGCGGGCCAGACTGGGCTGGGCACGCCCGGTACTTACTGCTCACGGGCGGCCGCGGGCTCGACTGGCCGGGGCTGTGTCCATGGAGCAGCAGCAGCGACTCCAGGGCGAAAGTTGCGCTGGGCTGCGGGGCGCCCTGTCCTGCTCCCAGCTCCCAGCCGCCGGTGTCCTCGCGGGCGCGGAGCGCTGGTTATGACGAGGGAGGCGGAGGCGGGGAGGAGGCTGGAGGGGGCGGGGGTCCGCGCGCGGCGGCGGTGGCGGGGACGACGGGGGACGGGGTCGGGGCCGGGGACGGGCCGGTCCCCACCGGCGGACGCGGGCGGGAGCGCAGCGGGCGGCAGCGGCTCGGCGCGTGGAGTCACGCGGCGCGAGTGAGCCTTTCTGGGCCGTACCCGGTTTCCGATTTCGCCCCCTCCCCCCGGCGTCCCCAGATCCTGCGCCTTCGAAATAATAATTTGGGGTGGGGGCAGGGGATGGCTCGGGTTATTTCGGGATGGGCTGGGGGGGAGCCGCCCGCGGCAGACGGTCCGCGCGGGGGCGGGCGCGGGGAGGGGCCGGAGGAGGGGCCGCGGGACGTGCGCCACCCGCGGGACGCCCGCGCGGGGCCGGGGCCGGGGCCGGGACCGGGGCGCGGCCGGGTGCAACAGCCCCTCCCGCCCGCGCCGCGCCGTGCGGCGCCGGACAAAGACCGGGTCCTCCGTGGCATCCTCGGTGGCCGGGGCTCCAGACCCTGCGCGTCAGGGCCGGACAGGGCGCGCGGCTGGGCTTGGGGACCCGGGCTTCCCGGCGCGAACGTCCCCGCCGGGCCGCAGCGACGCGACACCGCCACCAACTTTCCCGGCTCCCGCGGCCGGGCTCTGCCGCGGGGCCGCTTAAGGTGGCCCCAGCCGGCCCGGGCTCTGGGGCGCGCTCCTGCCCCACCGCCGCGCCCGCGCGCCGGTCCTCCTTAACAGCAAGCACGTGGGCAGGGGCCGCGGCCCCGCGAATGCCTGCGGCGTCGGCGGACACGCGCCGCGGCGGCTGTGGGCAAGTCCGTGTGGACGCTCCACGCCGGCCTGAGGCTCCTCCATCCGCCCGCACACCTTGGCGCCTCCCAGTGCTCGGACCCCAGGGACGCCCACGGCTTGCCGCCTGCGCGTCGGTCTCCCTTAAGAAGCGCTAACTGTACGGCGGCGCCAGAGGGCCAAACTGGATTCGGTTTCGGGAAACGCGCTCAGGGCCAAGATAGAAATCCTCGGACCCGCGCGCAGACCGCTGAGAGCTGGGTGGCCGACAGCGCGCGAGGCCGTTCGCCGCGTGCTTTCACAATCCCCCCGCACCCGTGAGGCTCCGTTCCCGCGGCCTGAGAGGCGTCGGAGTCTCAGGAAAAAGGGGGGGGTCCCTGGGAGGAACTCCGCCCCCGGCCTGGGTCCGGGACCCTAGGGAACCCCGCCCCCGCACCCCCAGGGCGCGTCGGATCCCGCGCCAGCCCGGAGGCGATCGTAGCTCGGCAAGGGATAGGGAGCCGGCCCGAGCGAAGACGCGGGGCCCTTGAGGTCCGGGCTTCGACTAATTTTCTCGGTTCTCCGCCCGCCCAGCCCCCACCCCGCAGCTAGGCACGCGAGGCCGTGGGCCGCGCACCTGGCCACGCACCGCCCTCGGCGGGCCCAGTCCTGCTGCACGACGGACGGGCGCGACAGCGGACTCCTGCAGCCCTGTGCTCCGCGGACCCGATGAGGGCGCCCGTCCTGCCAGCCGCCTGGCGCTCACCTCGGTCCGCCTCGCAGCCTCAGATCCGCGCGGGACCGCGAGGTCGGTGCCGACCGCGCGCGCTGCTTCTGGGGTGCAGAGCGCTGCCAGGGTCTTTCCTGTCTGATTCGTCACTATTATTATATCTACGATGCGAATGGTTGGAACGCTCACCCCAAGTCATTAATGAGCTATTTCACCGACGCCGCTCCGAGAGCTTCATTTGCATTCCGGGATCCGGCGCTCGCCTCGCCGGGCGGGCGGCCTCGGCGTCACTTATAGCGACACGGCCGCACTGTTAACCGGTTAATATTTTATAAAGTGTAAATATTTTATTATGTTTTGAAGGGAACTATTGATTCTAAATTATTAAACCCCTGAGAAGGGTTATTTAAATAAAGTACGCAGTTATGTACAATTAAATGTACATTGTGGCTAGAGTCTGCATCTTTTTTAATCCATCGACTTTTCTGGGTCGTTTTTTAATACTAGGAAAGATCTATCATTTTGGGAAAATGTCGTAGAGTAGTTTGCATTACATTTTAAAATAAGTAAATAAATAAAATTGCATTTAACATAGAGAAGAATGTCCAGTTCGATAAATCATTGGCAGAAATGTATTTTGCATGTGTTTGGTAGGTAGCTCATTTTGTAAGTTTCTTTTCGATTTTCAAAAGGATAAGTGTAGGAGGTTTTCAGATGTATGTCCAGTGTGAAGTGCATTTTTTCTTTAATTGCCCTAATAAAGGTCTTTTCTGTTTCAAATTACATATGCTTTTTACTGTACAATTTTTGAATTGACCTTCTTTTAACTAAAGTGGTTATTTCCAGCATATTTAATTTCAACAATAAGAGATATTTTAAATAACATTCTTATGTTTTGTTAAAATTTTCTACTTTTTAAAACAGGAAGTGAATAAATCTGATGATGATTCAAGATTTTTTGTTTCGTTTTGTATTGTTCATAATGGTTTATTTCCCAACATTTTTGAAACAAAATCACACTTAAGAATTGGCATAAGTACATTTGTCTCTTTTTAAATGTTTGATCCAAAATCATTTTTGCGAATGCAGATACGGTTTGCTTAGCATTTGGAGCACCAGCTTCACCTTTTCAAATATTTTTGGCCCTGGGCTCCCTCTTGCTCTCTTCGTGGAGGCCATGGGCTCCATCTCTCTCCTTCTCCCACTGCCAGGATCTTTGATTCCATTCAGTCAAAGGTCACTTCTTCAGGATCCCAGTGAGATTAGTTATTTTTAAAGTGGCTGATCTTTATGTTCTGGGCTTTCTGTGCATGGTCTTTCTGTGGTCTTCTTCCTATCTTCCCTCAGGCCACCTTCCTTTGTCGGTGGCCTGCATTCTAATGACCACGTTGCTTGAGGACACTGAGGTTTTATGGCCCTGGCTTGCGTGGGGTGCACACTGGGTCGCTGATGCTTGCCCAGGATCTCGAAGGCCCTACTGCCCAGCCTGGGATCAGTGTCCAGCATGGACACTCACTTGGCCTGAGAAGGCCCAGCCTGTCTGTAGCTCCCATGTTCTCCCCTCCAGGCCCAGAGGCCCTGCCAGAGACGGCAGCCTCTCAGAGCCTGAGGAGGGACTCTGTGCCCTCCTCTGGGGAACACACAGGAAGTCCTTGGGGATAGTCAGATGCATCAGTAGCCTTCACAGGACTCCAGCTTTGCCTGGCCTACATCTGCCCAGTCTTGTCTGCCTGGTGGGGTTTGCCGTGGCTGTGCCCAAATGGCTGCCAGCTCTGAGGCCTAGGCTGGTGTGCCCAGGGCTGTTGTGGAGAAAAGGCCAGCATTTGCCTGCTCACAGCCAGGACTCAGGGCTGAGCCTGTAGCCCTGAGGGCCAGGGAACAGCAGGGACACAGGTCTCCCAGTTGCCCCAGTCTCTCTGACTCTGGGACACTTAACTTACCATTCACTTCTGCGTGCTTTCTCTGCCTCCGGGGCCAGCAGATCCACTGCGCCGGTGACCTGTCCTGCTGGCCCAACCAGGACAGGATGGGGACCACGGAGGGCTGTGGTGGTCATGGGCCATGAGGGCCCAGGGCGCCCACGTGCAGACCCTGGAAAAATGGTTCCAGTACTGCCCAGAACTCAGCGGGGCTGTATTTGGTGATAGCCGGCAGCGACCCCCGCGGTTGGGCCTAGCTGTCCCCGCGGGTCGCTGCTGGGTTTAGGTGGGCTTTGCGGTAGCGCTGGCGAGTTTCTGAGTGGACGCCGCGTATCAAACCCTCAGGGACAAGCAAGCCGGGCCTGGGACGCTAGGTGAACGAATCGCCGATGGTCTGGGTCCCCACCCCAGCAGGGCACTTGGGGGCCGCCCGCCCGCGCCCTCTCGCGACAGCGCCACCGCGTGGGCTGCGCACCACCTGCGGCCCGGTGCTGCGGGCCAAGGCCCAGAGTGGAGGCTGCCGCCGGCATCCCACCCTCCACGGGAGCCTGCGAGCGCGCGCGCCGAACCAGCCCCAGCCACGAGCGGCTTCGGGAAGACCCAGCGCGGCCTCCCTGCGCGCCCCAGCTCCAGGCCACGGCCCACGGCCACGGGACACTGCGCACCCGGTCCTCCAGGGGAAGCGACCCAGGGGCCCCGCGTCGGGAGGCGTCCACCCACCCCAGCCTGGGCCCGGCACGAAGCAGAGGTTCCTCCCCGGCCCCCGGGCCCCCTCGGTCCGAGAGGCTGCGCGCGCTGAGATCCGGATGGCGCCACCACGGTCCCCTTCCCTCCCGGGCCTCGCAGGAGCGGGAGCCCAGCGGACCTAGCACTTGCCGGCGGGTTGGGGCCGGGTGCGAGAACAAAGCCGGCTCCCTGTGCAGCCCACCCACGCACACAGAGGGGCCGCAGGCGCCCGCGCGGCCACCCCACGGCGGCCTCGGCCCCACGCCACGCGGGACGCGACGCTGCGGGCTCTAGCGCCGGCCTGCGCGCACACCTCTTTGTCCGCGGTGACCTCTCGGTTTCCGAATCCCCGGAGCCAGCCCTCGGACGGCGCAGGCGACCCCAGCGAGCAGCCCCGCCCTGCCCGGCGCTCACCTCCGTCCACCGCCACCGCCGGCCCGGCCTGGCCGTGGTCAGCGCTGCCACCTCCGGAGCCCAGACCGCCCGCGGCGTTTCCGTCAGCCCGGGCAGATTTCAGTCGCTAATACGCCGGAGAACTGTTAGGACAGTAACTTCTCCTTTTAGTATCAATAAAGCCTAGTAATTGGGTTTGTTGGTTACCTAAGCTAAGAGCGCTCGCAGTCCCCCTCTCCCCTCTCTGCCTCTCTCCCTCTCTCCCTCTCTCCCTCTTTCTCTCCCTCTCCCCCTCCGTTTCCCCCTCGCTGCAAGGTTTTCAAGCCCAGCAACTGTGTGTGCGCGTTTGTGTGGGGAGTGTGTTGTTTGTTTCCAAAGTCTCTGCCTAGGGGAGGCTCATCTTTGCCGCTCCACTCCACGAGTGAAGGGCTTTGAAAAGTGAACTGTTGTTATTCAAGAGGGGGAAAATGTGGCCTTGTGGGTCTCAAGGAGAAGCATGCTAGAAGAGGCGTTCTGAAGATGCCTCCACGGGCTCGGGCGGAAAAGTCCGTGGGGCTTGCTTGATGGTTTGCATTTTAGTTTAACTTACACTGTATTCTGACTCACGAAGGTGGTGATGCGTGTTGTTTCCAGTTAGAAGCTTGTATACTAAGATGCGTTCTAAACTGTTTTCATTTTCGCATGTCTTTTCCAAACCTATTGATAGGAAAGAATTTTTCTACCTGAGAACCAAGCCCCCATTTTAAAATACAAAAAAGGTCTTTCGTAAGAGATCACTGTGAACAGTCCACTCATTAGTGTTTGTGGATTCGGTGCAAAGATTTCTAAACTCTAAAAGCAATCTAGGTATGATTTTGTCCAACTGTAGTAGTGTGTTTGTGTGTGTTTTCGTTTTTGCTGTACGGAAGTTAAATCTACCTTTGAGAGGACTTGGAAAATCGCCGTAATGCAATGTACCTGAAGTTAAATTCCCTACCAAATGCAGCATAACTAGTGCTGCCAGATGTCAGCCTAACGAAATGAGGAGTATTTCTGAACCCCACTACTGCCAGACTCAGGTGCTACTCAGTGCAAAGAAATGGGAATTCAGTTTTGCCCGCGAAGAGGAGGGAAATGCTGGCTCCACCGTTGCCTCTAACACGCCCAAGCTTTCGGCTCTTTCCCGTTTGTTCCTGTGTCCAGCTCCTAAGGAAAGGGCCAGCCCCCTGTTCCTGGGAAACCTCGAGCTTCCCCGAGTTTGCCTTCGTTTTAGACCTTGAGACCCAGATTCTGCTGTGGGTGTCCACTGCCGGTGGCTTTCAAGGCAGAGCAGTTCAGAGACAGATGTGACCTATGCACATTCCCGGCAGGAAAGCGCTCTTCCCTCGGCTCCCAGGCCCAGGCCCAGCCACCACATCGGCCCCCCCACTCCCTCCTGAAGACCTGCAGCCCACTAGATCGTGGGCTGGGGGTGGCTGCAGGTCTGGAGCCTGGGTGCACCCTCCCCATTTCAAGGGTTAGTTCCAGGCAACTTGCCTTCCTGCTGCTCCCCACCTGGCTCAGTGACCCTCACAGGCCTCCCAGGCCCGTGCACAGCTCCCTGCCCCCCCCCCCAGCTCGCTGTGCCTTAGAAGCCATGTTTCCTTTGGCATCCAGCTTCCAAGAAGCAGCACAAAGGATGAAGGAGTGAGAGAAGGAAGCAGAAGCCTCCCTGGGATGGGCAGCTCAGCCTCCATGACCAAGGGGCTCTGGGACTCTGCCTCCCCGCGCGGGTCCACCGGCCTGCGTCAGGGACTCTGTAGGCCCGCACTGCTGCCCTGTGCTGATGTCTGAGAACAGGACACAGAGTCCTGGTTTCCTTCTTTAAAGTCTTCGCCTCACTTTCAGTTTCTCCGCTGTTTTTAAGAACGAACGTCCCGGGCACTGCTTCTGTAGGAGCCTCCTCCTCTCCAAGCCCTGTGTGCAAGAGCTGGAAGTGGTCTGTCTGTTTATAGCAGGTTTAATTAAGACAGTGACGTGCCCTGAACTCTCTGGGCCCCAATCAATGCACTTTGATTGGGAAAGTCAAATAGAATCACATCTCAGGCGCGCGGGGCTGCCCACTGCCCACACTGGGACAGCCGCTGGTGTCCTGCACTGGCCTTTGGAACCCAGGCTGGACCCACTGGTGGAACCCCCAGAACCCAGGCACTGGGCTTGGGGACCCAGCCTCAGACCTTCTCCCTCCTAACCTTTCAGCTGCAGCAAGAAGGGGCCACAATTTTACATTCCCAGATCATCACCCGCAGCCTCCCCCCCCCCTCAGGTGCCCCGCCATGGCCCTGGTGCATTTTTCTAAATTGTCCTCCTTGAAAACCTCAGAAACTGGACTATAGATCTTAGGGCCAGCTAGCAGACTCTGCCTTCACTCCTGCAGCAGCCATTACCTCCCTGTCCTTCCCTGAGCTCCTAAGTGAGGGATCCCCACCACCACCTTCTTTGCCCTTGGAGCAGAAAGGGAAAGGGCTCTAGGCAGCCCCTCCAGGGACACCTTGGCCCAGGACTCGGGTAGAGACCAGGAGCAGACTGTGCCCAGGACCGCAGAGCTGGCAGGGTGTAGGGTGCTGTGCTTGCCTCCTCTGTGCTTCTGCCCTTCCTCTACCCTGAGCCCTGCTGCCACCCTCTGTGATCCGCACAACTGGAGAGCCACGGACCTGCCACCAGTGCCCTACCTCACCTACAGTGGATCCACTCGGTTGCTCAGTCCTCAGTGGCTTGCGATCCAGAGCCCCTGCACCCCCTGGACTGGAGTTGCTGGAAGGCCTTTCTCTGTATTCTGGAAGCTGTTGCCCCTGGGACCTAGCAGGGTGGGCTCAGGACAGCCAAGTGTGTGCCAGCCAGGGGACCGCCCAGTGTCCCTCTCCGGCAGGCGCCAGAAGGGAAGAAGCTCTTTCTTTTCCTCCCTCTCCTTCGGTAAAGGTCCATCCGCTCTCTGCGGGAGCTCACAGCCCTGGTCCTAAAGTGGTCTGTGTGCCCCGCCCCGCCAGGCTGCAGGGCACACGCCACCGCCACCGCAGGGGCCTTGGCGCCTGAGGCTCAGCAAGCCGCCAGCTCCAGAGCAGGCTGCTCTGGCAACTCGGACTGGGAGCGGTGGCAGCCTCACAGTGAGTGCCTGGCATCGCCTCTCCGATACCATTGACTCTGGAGGGGACTCTGTCTACAGCAGCAGCGGAGTGACGGTGACATCGGTGGCCTTCCTTCCTCCTCTGGGGTCTGGGCCCTGCCTGCCCCCCCAGCAGCCCCACCCGGCGGCTCAGCCATCTCTGCACTTTGTCATCGCGCCTGAGTATTTGACATTCGCAATTATCTACAAATACCCTGATCGGTTTGTATATGAAACACTTTTTTTCTTGCCTTAAGGTTGGAATCTGGTAAGTTTCAGACAAGTGGTTGGGGGCAGAGGTGACCCAGGGGACCAGGGCGACCAGGCCTGTGAACTCGATTTGGCAAGGTGGGCGGCAGGAAGGGACAGATTCAAATGCCATCCCCTGTCCCCTGACACTGTCCCAAGGAAAGGCACAAGGAGGCCATGCAGGATCGGGCCACCAGGTAGACCTCCGTCAGTCCCAGGCAGTCAGGCTTCTCGGGAAGGAAGTTCCTAGGCTGATCCCCAAGGCACTTCCCGGAGCTCAGGTCTCCTCCCCACAAGGGCCCCAGCCTTGGGCTCAGCCCTGCCCCCCACCCCAGGCCTGGGTCTCAGCACTGTTCCCTGGCTCTGGCCCTGCCCCTGCAGGAAGCCACTGGGCCCTGGCCCTGCTCCTTCCCGCCAGGTCCTGGAGGGCCTGCAGGGCTCACCTGTCCTCTGCCTTCCTTTGGAGATAAGGGAGCAGGCAGAGTGCAGTGAGCTCAGTGAGGGTCTGAGGCTTCTGCTGCCCAGGGCTTGTCCTGGCCCACGGGCTTGAGGGGCACAGGGCCTGGGGCTCAGGGGCAAGGGGGCTCCGGGTGGAAAGGCTCTGGCCTGGGAAATGCCAGCCTGCACCCTGCTTGCCTGCACCCAGCTCTCACTGCCCACTCCGGCCTCCATTCCTGGGGCCACTTTCCCTGACCAGAGGAGGAGGGTGGGCCAAGGTGTCTATTGGGGTGTGTGGGGGGTTGAATACCTCAGGCAGACAGTCTGTCTCCTCACAGCCCAGTGCCACCTCCTGAGTTCTGAAAGGAAGTCGACCCCTCCCTCCCTCCCTCCTGTCCCTGCCACCGCTCTGGGAGGTCTCAGCTCTCCAGGGGGCCATAAAGTGCAGTGGCCCAAGGAGGCCGGCACAGTGTCTGGGGCAGCAGGCAGCCGAGGTCATAGCGCAGCCTGGGGCCCCCAGACCACACTACAATGCGGGGAGGGGGAGTGACTCCTCCCAGTCCTAGCTGGAGCTGGGTTAGGCCCCAGCTGCTAGAGGAGTCCAGATGAGGGACCAAAACAGGCAGATCCTCTTGGGCAGGTAGCAGGGGCACTGGGCACAGACTCTCCTGCACCTGAGGAGGAGGGTGGGCAAGGAGCCCGGGGAGGTCCCCTCTTACTCCCTACCCTTTACTCCCATCTTCCAGAGGTGTCCGCTCTGTATCCCAACAGTTTTTTTCACAGAAAATGCCCCAAGGATTGGGTTCCACATTTCCTGTTGGCTTCCAGGTCAGATTCTTCAGCATTCTGCTCCCAGCTCACCCCTCTGGCTCATGGGGTCCAGATCAAGTCTTCTGTATGCACTCTACATGAGCCACCCCGCCGTGAGGCCTAGCACCTCAAAGCCAGCCAGCTGGGCACTGTCTGGGTCCCATCGGAGTGTCAGGTCCTGGCCAGCAAGGCACATTCCCTGAGTCAGGCCTCTGGAGCCCCTGGAGTTGAGGTCAGCATGGGGACAAACCCATCCCAGGTAGGACATGGTGGGGACCTCTCAGAGTCCAGCCTGCCTCTGTGGGCAGTTATGCCATACCCTGTACCCCCCACTGGCCAGACCTGCACCCTGCCTGCTTGCAGGGCACTCAATTTATGCAGCTTGGTGCCAATGCCTGCCGCCACCCCTGGCTACTGGGCTCCAGGCCCACTCGGTGCCGTTTTGGCAGCTCTGAGGCCAGGGTCTACCTAGACCTGGGACTGCTGTGTCCTCACCTGGGCTCCAGTTCTGGAACCCAAGGCAGAGCAGAGAGACAAGACCCAAAGGACACAGAGGAAGTTTGTGCGTGAGAGGTCACCTCCTGTGCCGTATTCACTCACACACAGTGTGATCAAAAATGTGA